TCTTATCGATAGCCTTCTCCAGGAACTCCCTACCGTCTCAATGATTAAGCTTTGCTAGAGGAAAAAACGACCTCAGCTTGACAAAAGCTAGGCCTCCAGTAAATGAACCTTCTTTAGCATATGGAAACCCTTTAAGAAACTTCCTCCTGACTTCATCTCTCCCAACTCCACAGTCTATAAGCAGTCATTCTTCACAACCCCAGTGCAGCTCTTTCTGCCCACAGGTCCTGTTCCCGAGCTTTAATAAAAATCACCTTTTTGCACCAAAAATGTCTTCAAAAATTCTTTCTTGGCCATCAGCTCCGAACGCCTGCCACCCCTCCAAACCCCATCAGGACCACCCCTCCCAAACAACAAAACAAAACAATCCACCCAATAACAAGAGCCAACTGGGTCTTTGCTGTTTGTCTTGAAGAAGAGAATATTCTGACCCCTCTACTGTCTTCATCCCCTACTTTAGTCCAGGTTTGCCTTTTAATAATCAGGGATGATTTCCATATTCAATATGAGCATGTGGTGTGCAGTGGCCCACAGATCTTGTTAAAGATGGTGGTAAACAACGGAGATGCTGCCCTTGCTAGGTAACCTTGAGCCAGAACCTCAGAATCTTAGTGTGTGACCATTGCCAGCTGAACTCGCTTCTGCAGGCTGTTCTGCACAGACACAGAACATAACTGCTTTTAACTTCCCTGTATCATTTTCCCCATCTATTAAGTGAACATGTTGGTACATTATTAATCACATCAACTTTCTTCAAAGGGGGTCTTAAAACCCTTAATGTTCATTTAAATGACGGTTTTCAATTTAGCTTTAAAAGTTTTAAAAAATTAACTGAAGCCAATTATTTAGATAACTTTTTTCTCTTCTGTTTCAAGGAGTAGCTTCGTACATGTGACTCATGTAATTCAAGCTGTGCAGTAAGGTAGTAAAGACATTTTGATATATTATTGGATAGATGTAAATTGCTGAGACTCAGAATCCCAAATTAAGATAAGCAAGACACTGCTGGCGCCACCGAGGTGTACTCTATAAGTAGCCTAGAGGGAAAGTGGATTAAATAGTATTAACCTATTGAAAGTGAAAGTGTAAGCAATTTTGCTTCATAGTTTCTAAAGGAATGTACCCATACATCATGGAAGGCTTTCAGAACTTTCAGACACAGGAAACTGATTTCATATCTTAGAAACTTAATTTATGGTAATTTTACAGCATCAATCCCAAACTCATAAATCCAAAATGTTGAGTGTTTAATAGTATGGAGGGGGGGGAAAAGAGTTTGGAAATAAGATTGCTTCTTTCTAAAACTTAACAGCAAGGAAAAACAAAGTGAAAAATCGTAAAGATGAAATGCCTCTCAAACAATTTAATTCTATTTTTTAAAGTTAATTTAAGCAGAGGCTGGGCTAAGAGCCCAGCGTTCTGACTTGCTGTCACCTAGATTTTACTTTAGAATGAGATAAATGGTGAGCCACAATGAACGCATCAAGTCTTCAGTATTGAGACACCTTCTTTATAAGTAATCTAACAGCAGTAAATCTAAATTGTATGTTTTGTTGAGCTGAAGCTTGGTTTTCAATTTACATAAAGAAGTTACTTAACTGAAGTCTAGGAAAAAAAGCCAAAAGAAATGAAATAGGAATGTTCTCAGAGGGAAAAGAGAATGGGAAAGGTGTACCAAGAGGAAACGTTATAGCTACATTTTCGATTTACATCACAGGCGATGGCAGACTATCCCCCCCCCCCCTTTAATGTACGATAGGGTTATGAAGCATCAGATGTGATTCTCCAACACGGTAACCAAAGAATAGGCTTCCGCACTGAAGCATCTGTGACTTTTTCTTCCTCCTAAACTCTCATTAAAAACAATTGTGTTTTGCTTTTACATCCTTGAAGGATGTTCTTTTCTCTTTCTGGCTCCAATGCATGATCTCTGTGGATCTTTTAAAACCTGTCCTTATTACTGGTTTAATGTACATCTGTCCTATTCCCTGTTCAGTAGTAATAATTATTTGTTACCACTTTAAATTCCTTTCAAGTTAACAATTTAAACCATTTTTGTCACTCAAGAAATCTTGAAAATTTTCCGTTTCATTTTTTCCTCTTATTTCCCCCAATGCATACATATTTCCTTTCTTTTAAATTCTTTGTTGCTCCTGGATCTACATTTTCTTTTATGCCTTCCTCATTCTGATTGCTTCTGTTTATTATGTACCAGGTGTCTTCCATTGCCTACTTTAAGTCCCTGTAAAGCTCAAGTTTTCCACAGGGAATAGCTACATGTAATGGTTTCATTAGCCAGAAAAGTTTGTGTTTATATGATAAATATCAAAATGTTTTATAACCTACAGGGAAAACATCCAGATGATCAACTTTTTCAGTTTTTATCAAAATAGTTCATTGTCTTTGAAGCACTCCCCCACCTTCTTCATGTTTGCCAACTGTTCTTTCCTGGGCTTACGATGCTTAAGGTTTTCATGCTTTTATCAAGCGTCTCTGTATTTTACAGTCCAATGCTAGAGCACTACTCCTAAATTTAACATGTACGGTACACGAGCACCATTTTGTGATAGCGATGTAGTCGCACAACGGCCGGAACTCTTTCTACTACTGCCACCTAGTGGTTCTCCTCACCACATGTATCTTCCCGAAATGTTTTTCTAGAAATTGCACGTTGGCAGAATCCAGTAGCTAAAGATATTCAAGTGGAAATCATGAAAGCTTTCTTTCACATTGTATTAAAGTAACCCTGTTTCACGCACCTAGGGAAGAAGAGGGAAGATACTTCACTCTTTCCACGAAAATAAAACTCTCACTTTAGTTGAAAAATTTTTTAAATGCACCTGCACGCTGATGTCTAAAGTATGTGACGTCAGAAACGCCAGGAGCTCTTCCACATGCGCTTGCCTCCCACCTCCGGCCACTGTACTAGATAGCATGATTCATTAGGTATCGCAGCACCTGCATAAAGGAAATCAGAAGCACGTGCTTCTGGCCAGAGGTAAACAAGACGCAAGATCAGCACCTGTTCAGCTCTGCTCCTGGTGAGCTCTGAAGCCGCCACTGGTATTTATGTAATGTGAACTGCGTGCAATGGTTTAAAGTGGAGGAAGAACACGATATTAGATCAGTGTACTGCATCTCTGCCCGTCTCCACACAGCTACCTTTGTGACCTTTGAGACTAGAAGAGAACCGAGGGAACAAATACTTCAGCAGACAACAGCATTAAGGCCTCCGCAGAGCTGATATCTTGTCGTTTCTTTGCTAATTAACTTATGGCCATGTTAAAATTTTCATCATTTGTGGTAGATGGGGTAGACGCTATGTCCCCAACACCTAGGACCATTCTTAGTATACAGTAAGCACTCAGGAAATATTTGTTGGATGAGTGTATTTAACAAATGGGAAAAAAAGGGCCGCTCTGAAAAGTGAGTTTTTAGTGGGGCCATTGGTTTGGTCCATGGAGCAGAGTTTTACATGTTCTTATGTTTCGTATTAATTCTGCAATTTACCATATTTTAGCAAGTGATACATGAAACCTGTTTTGAAATCTGACATCTTAACTTGGATTCTCTCTTTGCAGGTCTCTACCAAAACCCTTTGTGCCAATATAACCTGTACCGTTTATATATAATCTACCACCTTCCAGGAGTAGAGTTGCTTGATCGAAATCGTAAGGACACCTCTTGCAGAGAAATAAGTGAAAGGCAGTCTTCTAGTTCACTAGCTTAAAAATGCTGAAAGTCTTTGAAAATAATTTTCTTTATAAATGGACTTTCAATTATTTATTTTCAAAATGCTTGCTCTGAAATTTTCCCTAGCTTAGGAATTATTTCTCTTGATCACTGTATTGAAAAGGCCATCTAACTGAGCATAAGGATTGGTCTCCTTGCCCTGATTTTGACATAAATGTGTTGGATGCCAAATCATTTATCCCCAGCATTTTAGTGTTTTCTCTCAAAAATGAGAGAAATGGACTAAATCTCTTAAGGCCTATTTAAGTTCTAACAATCGTTTTCTTTGAAATCCTGTAAATATATATATTAAGACATATATAATCAATGATAATTTCTTTGTGAATACACCTTTAGACATTGTAGATGAACTAGTATGTCCATTTATATGAACCACAAAAATAACCTCACCATGTTACATTTTACCCTTTAGGGGGCCTCTTTTACCTCCAAGGAAATAACTGTGATAGCCCTTCGCAGTTCTGACAGGATGTTCACATATGACATAGTTCAGATAAACACATTTTTCCAAGTGTTCAATTATCTTCTGAATCTCTCTGCTTCTCTATAATGCTACGAAGTAACATTACTATTTGCATTTGTCAGAAGTTACAGAGAAGGAAAGAAGATCAATGATCACCATTTTTAATCACAAAAAGGCTCATATTGTTCAATCAATAGCATTCAGAGGAAAAGTAGATGCCTCCTGGAATCCTAGATCACCATTTAAGCAAAAACCAGCTCAGAGAATACCTCCAGGTATTTTGAAAACAGAAGAAAAATGAAATTAAAATTCCTCAGACTTTTGGTTACTTTGATTATAATAATAATGGCTGCAATTGACAATAAGCTAAGCCCCTACATGGTGAATAAATATTCTCCAATTTTATTAGTCCAATTAAAGTGATATGCAATTTTATCTGTTTATGTATATTAAATGAGGTAATGTGATAATAATGAGATATTACCTTGAAATTCTTCCTTTAGTATCTAGTGAGTATAAAAGGCTCAGTAAATAAGCTTTGTTTATTATTATTACCACTATCACTGGACAATTTCACCAATTAAAGCTATAAGTTGTTGATAATATGGCAAAAATATTAAGAAGAAATAAAGATCATCTACAATTCCTTCACCCAGAAATAATCACTGTTACTATTTAGGTTGGATTCATATACACACACTCATTATACACAAGTAGAATTTGAATATTTTCAGTGATGTTTCGTTAGAAATTAATTTCTTACATGTAACAGCAATCCAACTTCACTGACTTAAGCAAATAGAGATTTTTCTCACACAGCAAATAGTACAAAGAGAGGGTGTTTAGGGTTAGTGCAAAGTTCAATGATATCATCAGTATTTAAGAATACATCTATCTTTTGTTCTATTCATAGTGTGATTTATGGTTACAAGGTGACTGCTATACAGCCAGGCCTCACAAGGAGGTACAAAAAAGATGCAAAGACAAAACCCTTTTACTCATGACACTGTGCCAAAGAGATGACATAGATTTGCAAAACCACGAGCAAAAAAAAAGAAAAAAAAATTTCTAGAAATGAAGGAAAAAAATATTAAAATGGAAAAAGATTTTGAAGAAATTACCCAGAATGTAGTATAGAGAAAGCAAGAGATAGAAAATATTAATTAGCTGTTGAGACAAGGAGACATTAGAAACAGAAGGTCCAGCATCAGTTTAGTAATCCTGAAGGAAAACAATAGAGAAATTGGGCATAAGTTGATGTTTGAGGTGATAACAACTGAGGATTTTCCAAATTTGACAAATGATATGAACCTTTAGATTTACCATAGAAAATTAATCCAAAGACATAAATAACATATAACAATGTCAAAAATCCACACCAAAGGCAAAATGATCTAAAAATAGAATGAAAATGTAGATTACCTATAACATAATAAGTTATAGATTCACAATAAACTTCCCAACTGCAATTATGGAAGTCAGAAGACAGTGATCCAATGCCTTTAAAAAAGAAAAAAATTTTTTAATGTTTATTTATTTTTGAGAGCCAGAGAGTGACAGAGCATGAGCGGGGGAGGGGCTGAGAGCGAGGGAGTCAGAATCTCAAGCAGGCTCTAGGCTCTGAGCTGTCAGCACAGAGCCCGACACGGGGCTCGAACTCATGGACGACGAGATCATGACCTGAGCCGAAGTCACATGCTTAACTGACTGAGCCACCCAGGTACCCCAGATCCAATGCTTTTAAAATGCTAAGGAAAAGTAATTGTCAACCAAAAATTCTACAACTAGCTAAGCTAGTCAAAAATGAGCAAGAGGGATACCTGAATGGCTCAGTCAGCTAAGCATCCAACTTCAACTCAGGTCATGATCTCACAGTTCCCTGGTTCGACCCCTGCATCCATCTCTCTTCTGTCAGCACAGAGCTGGCCTCAGATCCTCTGTCTCCCTCTCTCTCTCTCTCTCTCCCCCTCCCCCACTCATGCTTGCACATGCTATCAAAAATAAAACATTTTTTTAAATGAGCAAGAGGAAAAGAATGGCAAAATTAAGACTTTCCTATCAACTTTTTAATGTGAAAATTTCAAAACATAGGAAAAGTTGAAAGAATGTCACTTGAAAATTTCAAAACATAGGAAAAGTTGAAAGAATGTCACTTACATATTCAATAATTGTTAATATTCTGTCAGATTCACCACCCTTCATAAATGAGGCTTTGCCTTTTTATTCAAGAACGACCTCCTCAGAAGCTTCTACTTACATCTGATTGGCCATCCCCAATCTCCATGTTAACTGGAAAGCCTCAAAATACCACTGAACCATTTAGATGTTTCAGTAACAGGTATCACAACTCTTCACTTCTAAATAATTTAGCCTCTAAGTTTAAAAATAAGGGCATTCTTCTATATAGCCCCAATGACATTATCATACCTAAAAAACTAACTATGAGTGTACTCATACTATTTAATACATAATAATACATATTCAAATGTTCCCAGTTGTTCCAAGATGGCTGCTATAGCTGCTCTTTCAAACTAGAATCCAATTAAATTTCCTAACAACATGTGGTTGTTATGGACCTTTACTCTTTTTAAATTTAAAAATTTTGCAATTTGTTTCCATGACTCTTTTAGGGACCAGGCCAGTTAAATTGTAGAATGCATCAATTTGTATGACTGTTTCCACAAGATGTCATTAAACTTGTCCCTTTACCCACTGCATGTCCCAGAGAATGGAAGAAATGTCCACAGGACATGTTCTAGATGCAGTAGAGTGTAGAGCAGTGGTTCTCAAAGTGTGGTTCCTAAACCAGTAACAGCAACATCGCATAAGAACTTGTGACCAATACAAATTCTTGTCCCAAAAGAGATCGACTAAATTAGAAACTCAAAGATGGGACCCAGAAAGCTGTTTTAACAAGCCTTTCAGGTGACTCTGATACACACCCCAGTTAGAGAACAACTAGCATAGAGGCAAGAACACAAGCTTTGGGATCAGATTCCCCCTAGGTTTGAATACCAGCTGTGCTAGTAAGTAGAAGTTTTATTAATCTTGACCCTAATTTGTTTCAGCTTTCTGATTTTTAAAACTAGGGATATTTTAAAGATATTTTAAAACAGACAATATCTTCCTCTGGCTGTCACGACTCTTATACACACACTCATTATATACACACACTGCCACCACCTGATCTGACACATATGAAGGACGTGATAAAAACTGAACTGTTCTATTAGTCTCCTCCTAGGTTTTTCTTTCACTTCATGTAAGATACCCAAACTGAATGTTATCAGATTAGTGCAAGTGAGCCATGCTATGGCAGGAAGTGAATCTCTGGATAGAAAATCTCCACTCTTAAAAATAGGTAACACACTCTTAAAAACAATGTAAGACATTCCATCTGTTTTTCAGCGCTACTGTTATTACAAGTATGAGGAAGACGGTTGAACACTACCCTTAGCACTTTACCTTTCTTTAGTGCAACGAGATTGCAGAAAAAAACTATTATCCTTTTGTTCTCTTTATTACTTTTCATTTTAAACCTCCAAAAATGAAATCAGAGGAAGAAAGAATACGGAGAGTGTTTCACTGCACCTGAGAGTTGTTCTTCTGAATTCATAGCTATGCTACCTATAGCCCTCCTAAAACTTAGGATGACCCTAATCTACTCATTTCCTACAAAATGCCAATATATCAGAGCAACTCAATAGTATTTTTAGCCCAATACTTTAGCCTGGCTTACTTTAGCTTATCTTAATAACTAAACATGTACAATGAAACTAATAAAACCCACTATGTAAGTTTTTTAAAATATGTCTTACAGTTTTATAGTTTCTGTATTTGTTTTGATATAAATCTCATCTTGCTGTGACATGCACATTTAGGACTCTGAATTCTTTAACTGGGAAGAAACCATACTTAAAATTGTTCATAAGGTAATTTTAACACCACGTTTTGATTTCATTATCTTTAACCTTATACTGGGAAAGAAACCAATTATATTCTAACAGCTTGAGAAGTAAAGTCAACTTGTAGTTTCTTCAAATGCCACCTATCCATCCTTGTAAAATGGGTAAAAGACATGCACCGATTTCCATTAACTATCATGCTTATTGCATGATCACCAATAACTTCAGAATCAAAACGCTGTGGGCTTTTATACAGCTTTAAGGAAGTAGACATTGGGGGATTTCCCACCAACTACCTAAATAGGGACAGACATTAAGGGAGATTAAAATAAATGAAAATACCAATAACATTTTTAAATGACTAGTAGTGGTCTAAGTAAAACTGCTGGATTTCTGTATTTGCTCTTCTGCCCCAAACAAGATGGAACTGCAGGGCTAAGACCAAGCTGAGGAGGATGTCCCAGAGCCTAGGCCTAGCAGCTGAGGCGTGTTACTCAGGAAGAGAGAAGAAGAAAACAACAACAACAACAACAAAATTCATGTAGACTATTTAGCAAACGGATAGTTCACCAGAGTGGGTGAATCCAGATATAAGACAGGGAGGCCAGAATCCAGACAAAAGTAAAAATTAAAACTTTTGAGCTGGGCGATCGAAGCCTTGGGAATCCAGGCCTTAAAAACATCTCTGACTCTGAGTAGCAACGACATGAGGCACATCCAGGAAAGCAAATGCCAAGTGCTATTTGTGCATGAAGCCTCAGAGAGGTACCAAGGGTCAATGTGAGAACTCGAGATTGGTTGGCAATTGAGAAAACTGCAGAGTCAGAAGAATTTGTGAAGGCAAAAATCAACAGTCAGCAGAGCAGGTTTTGGAAGCCATGACTGGGGGCCACTGGAGTTGTGCCACGGAGCAGTCCTGCGCCAAAGAAATAAACAAAAACCACTTTCTTCGGGAGACATCATAAGGAAAAATAAATTCCAGAGAGATTAAATATCTAAATATAAATGAATTGAAAATTACATGGGGGGAAAAAAAAACTTTTATAATCCCAAGGAGACGAAGTACAATCAAAGCTTTACACAAAACTCAGGGCCATAAAAATGAAAAGTTGACAGATTTAAACTACATAAAAATGACAACCATTATATGATATAGGAACAAAATTAAAAGAAAATCTTTGCAATATATACAATAGGCAAAAGCTAATTCCTATTATATTAAAGGGTTCCTATAAATCAATTTGTAAACTCCAAATTTAAAAAAAAAGTGAAAAAAGCTATGAACAAGACATTTAGAGAAGGAAATAAATGTGATGTCTCATCATCAGCCTTACTAGTGAGCAAATAAATGGAAAATAAAACAATGAGATATCAATTTCGTCCTGCAGATATGCAAACGTTGAGAAGGTTAGTAAAGATTAAGGGAGAAAAAAGCACAACTTATAAATTATTGGTGGGAGTGTAAATTAGTTTAACCTTCTTGGCCATATGGCAGCATCCACCAAATATAAAATGTGCAAACCATTCAAAACAGCATTTAAATTTGAAGCCTCTTTTGCAAAAGTATTTGCACATAAAAACAAAGATTTATGTATAAAGCTGCTCAATGAAACATTCTAAGTAAAAGAAAAAATGAAAACACCGAATGGTCCTTCATAGAAGAATATTAAGTGATGGAACATTCCTACAACATGAACCATTGCACTTTAGAATTATTCCATGGGGTATTGAGTATAAGAAAAATGCATCATGGACTAATAAAATGCAGAGTATGACAAAATTGGAACTGAGTTCACATATGTGAGTACACATGTGTATGCACATAGGAGGCTGGAAATCTACATACAAAACTCTTAATAGTGATCCCTCTGGTAAGAGGAATGAGAAAGATCAAAGGAAGATTTCACTTTCTACTATTTTCTAGTTTATATTCATTATCAGCAAAATGAGCATTTTATAATTAAAACATATAGAAGGGGTGCCTGGCTGGCTCAGTCAGAAGAGCACAGGACTCTTGATCACAGGGTCGTGAGTTTGAGCCCCATGATGGGTATAGAGATTACTTATAAATAAATAAATAAATAAATAAATAAGTGAGTAAGTAAAATGTAAATTCTTAAAAAAAATGCAGCAAGAGAGACTGGGGAAATCAGAAATGGAATGATCAGCCATTTGTGAAGGGAACAATTCCATGAACTCCTCTAAGGCAGGGGCTATGTGCTCCCTGCTGCTTGTGGTATTGTGGGCTTTGGTGGCCCAACAGGTGCTGGTACATTCCACGTCTGGCCTGGCACCAGGCCTCTGGAGAGGAATGAACAAAGCAATGACAGTCTCTGGAAGATACCATAAGAAATCCCGGCTTTGTGGACTAGCCTTTGAGCTCCAAAGCTAGGGAAGATGGAGATTCTTGTGATCTAGGATTTGTTTATTCTATTTCTTTGAAGTTAATGCCAAGAATTCAAAAGGTTTAAACTGCCCTAAATAGTTCTCCTCATTTGGTCTGGTAGTCCATTTATAGATTCATGTGTCTATCTGAGAAAAAGGATCACTTTCTGCACATGAGACTCAATATCATAATTACAAAAATCCTCACTTGGATTCCACTGGTAACTTAATTGATTAAGCATTCTGTTCTCAGAGTTTTGAGAACTGTATTGAATTAAAGAACTTGCTTCAAACCTAAGGCAAACCTAAGGCACTATAACTAAGAAAAGTTCAATTTGAGCTCAAGCGTCAAGGCATTTTTGATGGATTGAATTATTTATCTAAATGGTCATTCAAAAATCAGAGAGTTGTGCTCTAGACTTTTCCTTTATAGCACAGTTTTACTGTTTTAAAAAGCTGAATAATTATTTGGAAAATACTAACTTAGAAATGTATTTTTTTTATAGATTTTTCATTTGTGAATAATGTGGACAAGTAAGTGATTTTTTTAACTTTACTTTTATTATCAAATTATTTCATAATTGTATTGACTTTAAATTATCTTCATTTCCCAAATAGATTTTAATGAGTTAAAAAACGACTAACTCTTCAATAGATGAGAAAAACTTCTGTCTTTCTGTGATAAATAAGTTCAAGCTATTTATTCATATTTTACATATTTAGGTTTTTAATATTATTATTATAACCAGAAATAAATGAAAAGCTGATTTGGTGCATAAAAAATAAAACCTAAGAATTATTAGCAAATTACAAATGTTTAATGTTCCTCTAAATATGTTCAGTGAAAGCAGATATGTAGATTAACATTTTATATTCATGGGAATTTATATTTTCAAAAGTAAATACTTCATTAAACTATGAAAAACATTTCAAATTCAAGAACATTGATGAATTTTAAAGTCATTAATTCTTTTTAAATTTTACACTTAGGTATTTTTTTTCCTTTGGATTCAGGATTGAAAAATATTATTGCCAAGAACACTTATAAAATATAGCATAATGTACGGGCAGCTGGGTGGCTCAGTCAGTTAAGAATCCAGCTTCGGTTCAGGTCATGATCTCACAGTACGTGAGTTCAAGCCCCATGTTGGGCTCTCTGCTGTCAGCACAGAGCCCACTTTGGACCCTCTTCTTCCCCCCCTCCCCTCTACACCTTTCCCCCTCACTCTCTCAAAAATAATAAAAAAAATTTTTTTAACAAAAAATTTAAAAAATAATAAAATATAGCATAATGTAGAGAAATAGCAACTTTCTAATAAAATATAGTTAAGATACTAATAAGCATATGACATCTACAAATAGTTTAATAATCTCATTTAACACTGGTTTTAAATCATGAACATATGAATGTGGAATAGCCAATCCCAAATATATTTAAAAACTGTATTTTAAAAATAAACAATATAAACAATAAAAATAGCATTCCTTAGTCTGAAAGTCATTTATCAGTAGAAGCGAAGAGTTGTTAGTGGTACTATGCTACCAATAACACAGAAAAATATGGCATTTATGGGGGGGGGGTTGTTTCCTTATTTATTTTTTAATTTAAATCCAAGTTAGTTAACGTATAGTATAATAATGGTTTCAGAGTAGAATTTACTGATTCATCATTTACATATAACACCCAGTGCTCATCCCAACAAATGCCCTCCTTAATGCCCATTTAGCCCATCTCCCCACCCGACTTCTCTCCAACGACCCTCAGTTTGTTCTCTATAGTTAAGAGTCCCTTATGGTTTGCCTCCCTGTCAGTTTTTATCTTATTTTTCCTTCTCTTCCCCTATGTTCATGTTTTGTTTCTTAAACTCCACATATGAGTGAAATTCTGTATTTGTCTTTCTTGAGCTAACATTTCACTTAGCGTAATACATTCTAGTTCCATCCATGTTCTTGCAAATGGCAAGATTTATTTGTTTAAATCAAAATTTCACTTTGGCTTAATGACTTTTTTGTCTGACATGACTGCCATTTTTGCAGAACTGTGTTTGATGACCCAGAAGATGCTGTATTTGTAAGGTCCATGAAGAGATCAGCTATGGCTATTACCTCCCTCAACTGGGACACAGTTCCAACACGAGAGGAAAAACACCTTGATGAGAAAGGCACAGAATCTGCTCAAATGGTCACCATTACACTGAGATAAACCCTGGTATCTGTAGAAAGCCTAGCGGTTTCCAGTTCTTCATTAAACTTCTCTGTGATTAAGTATATTGTATATTTAGTATATTATTTGAAATATGTAAATGTAAACAGAAACACCAATAATACAATTCCTACACATTTTAAATTTTTGCTGAAGTAATACACGTATATGGAAATGTACACAAATCATTAAATGTTCAGCTCAACAGTTTTCAAAAAATGAACATGTGCGGGTAACAGCAGTCCTAGAACAAGAAATAGACTATCACCAGCACGTGAAGTGCCTCCTCACTCCTGTTACCACTCTTATTACCTATTACCTAGCCACTGTTATGATTTCTAAACCATAAATTAATTGTGTGTCTTTGAAAGGCATATAAATGGAATCACAAAAGTTGAATTACTTTTACTCAATAGCCCTATCATTCTCATTGCTGTACGGTATTCCATTGTATGATCATACCACAATTTATTTTATCCAGTCTATTGTTGTTTTATCTCACCTTTGAAGGCATTTGCCAGTTCTGCGTGTGGGCTAGTGGTCTGAGCTGTGCCTATCCTGAAACCTGCTGCTGGAGGAAAGAGGAACCAGAAAAGCTTTTAGCAGTTGCCTGGTACTGAGAGACAAAATGCATTGCTGGTTTTCCCCAGCTAAGCTAAAGAGCTAGATCAAAGCTTACAAAGAGCAGAGTGACATTTCCTCCTATCTGGTGGTGCTGAGACACCACCACAGTGTGGGCACTATAGGTGGGGCTGAAATCAAAATAGGCAAGGGACAAAAGCCCTAGAGGGAATAGTGAACCGTCCTTGAGAATCTGTAACCTCCTTTCACCTGTGGGCACTTAGGATTCTGTACAAAGCCAGAATCTGAAAATTCAGCCATGATCCTTGGCAGAGGATTATACTTGGGGGAAAGAAAAACCAGAGATTTGGGCATTGATGTAGACGAGTGGTGCAAGACAAAAGTTATAGTGCATGGCTTACAAGATTTGGTTGCGGTAAGAGCTGAAATGTTCTCTTGTTGTCTCTCCTGGATCACTTCTGCAAGAAGCCAGCTACCACGTCATGAGGACACTTACACAATCCTCTGGAGAGGCTCAATGGTGAGGAACTGAGGTCAACTTCAAAAAGCCAGGGAGAGACTGAGGCCTATTGTCAACAACCATAAGAAAGAGCCATCATGAGAGCAGATTCTCCAGATCTAATTAAACCTTCAGATGACTGCAGCCCAGGCCAAGAGCTGCACCACACCCTCCTGAGAAACCCCAAGCCAGAACCACTCAGTTAAGCTGCTCCTGGGTTTCCGGCCTACAGAAACTATATGAGATAATGATTATTAATGCTTCCAGCTGACCGATTTCAGTGTAATTTAAGCGTCCTTGATACAGCAACAGATAACAGAATAACTTGGTATAATCCATGGTGCTAAAAGTATTTATGGTAGGTAAGGATGATTTGTGAAGTCTGGCAAACTCTAAGAAAGGCACAGTGCAGCCTCAAAAGGTTCTTGAATAAGGCCATACCACCTTCAGCAGAGAGCTAGTAATTGTTCAAATAGCAGTTTTAGGCATGCTACTGCATCCATCCTAGTACTAAGAATCTGATCAAAGAACATCAGGCAACTCTGACTAACGTTACTCATCAGAAGTGGAGCACTATCAGACCCACTAAGCAATAATGTTGAGCAGGCAGAACAGCAACCTATTTCATGATGAAAATGGTACATTTGGGATCCAATTTAAGCTGGCCCATAAATTGCATAAGCAGTATTAATTTCGAATAGATTGCAGTAACTTTAAGATGAGATATTGTAATCTCCAGGTTGACTACTGAAAGAATTGTAAAAAAAAAAAAATATGGAGCCTGATATTTTATTTTTAATCCCGCAAGCAACTGAAAAGGATGAAAAAATTATTCCAATTACAAAAATATGGCTAGCAAATTTTACTTAATCTCCTTTTCAAGGAACTAATGGAAAGATGTCTCATTTGTATGAAGAAAAAGATTTGCTTTAAAATGCACTCCTCAATGTTTTTTATTCAGTAATGAAGGGCTACTGAGTGGATGTGACTGTAATAAAATACCATTTAGGCAGAAACACAAAATAAAAGACATGATCCTTACTGAGGTAACCTAAAACTCTACCAAAATGGAACACATAGTTGAGAGGGTATTAAATTCTTTGTTTTAAGCAAAAGAGAACATGCAAGCTGATGTGGGTCAAAAGTATATTAGGATCCATCAGGAGCTCTCATGACCAGGAAAGAGAAAATATTATATAGATGTAGATAGGGTAGCAGCTAAAAGCTGCAGCTCTGGAATCAGACCCAGTTTAGCTCTTCCACTTACTAGTCGTCATTTGGACAAGTTAGCTAACTTCTGTAAGCTTTCATTTCCTCTTATTTAAAATGGTAATCATAGTTAACTCATTAAATCTCAAGGATTAAGTTACATAAATGGATGTAAGGTGTTAGGTAGAGTAGCTTTCTCAAAGTCAGTGCTTAATCTAACGGTTATTCTTATCCCCAGAGCAGCTGTGTCCTTTATGAACTCTATCTGATGTCAGAGTGAATGTTTGTGTCCCCACCTTCCCCCCCCCCCCATTTGTATATTGAAACCTACCCCTCAACATGATGGTATCTGGAGACGGGGCCTTTGGGAGGTAGTTTGGTCATGAGAGTAGAGCCCTTATGAAGGGGACTAGTGCCCTTTTAAGAGGACAGAGAGGTGGCTACCCTATTTCCACCATGTGAGGACAGAGTAAGAAGATGGCCCTCTGTAGACCAGGAAGAGGGTACTCACCCAAAACTTGACCATGCTGGCACTCTGATCTCTTCTGGCCTCCAGAACTGTGAGAAATACATGTTAATTGTTTAAGCTGCCATAGTTTACCGTAATTTGTTATATAACTGCCCAAAGTAAGACACCTGGTGCATTAGGGCTCTCCAAAGAAACTTTCCACAGAAACTGTATGTATATATATCCTATATATATCTATATCCTATATATATATTGTGAGAGAGAGAGAGAGAGAGAGAGAGAGAGAGAGAGAGAGAGAGAGAGAAGGGGGGAGAGAGAGAGAGAGATTCAAGGACTTGGTTCATGCCATTTTAGGAGATGACAAATCCAAAATTTGTAGGGCAGGCCTAGGTAGACTAGAAATTCAAGAATGAGTTGATGTTGCAGTCTTGAGTAACAAATCTACAAGGCAGGCCAGCAGGCCTTTTTAGGGACTTTTTATTTTTAGTGTTGGTATTTCCATGTTGCCAGCTTCTTCAGCACCACAACTGGGATATATGAGGCAAAAAAAAGAAAAAAAAAAAAAATCTCAAGAGAACAAACTGAATGTCACTGCCTGGCTCTTGAGGTCCCTAGCCAGTCTGCCTTCTTTCTCCACCTTATGGAGAAGTCTTCTTATTTATGTTTGATGTATCATATCTAGGGATTTTAGTTTTACTTAGCAGAAGGAATAGAGAAAAGTATGTCTACTCTACCTCTCCAGAAGCAGAAGTGTTCAGGTTATTTTTTAAGTGTAGCTGTATTTGTTTCCTTTTATGGCTTCTGGGTTTAGGATCCTATTTACGAAGGCCTCCTTCCAGGCAAAGTCATTAAGAATTTTCTCATGGTTTTTTTCAGAGAATGATCATTTTTTTCACATTTAAATCTTACCCATGTCAAATCATCCTGGAATTAAGTGGTTCCATATTAGTTTATGAATTATCTAGATACATTGCCTTGAATTGGTCAGTTATGTAGCTACCTGATTCATTCTAGACAAATTATGATTTGGCTTTTATTCAAAAGATGCCTTCATGTATTCATGAAAGTCCTTAAAGGATTCCAAAAAACAGCCCTATAAACTAGGCCAGAATTAGCTTTTAGAGGAAAAGAAATCTCCTATTTATCTGCTGAAGAAATGAGAAGAAGAAATTTCCTTTTTACTAAATTAAGATGTTGCTTTTTATCTATGTAAATAATGCTTTAGTATTATCACAATTTATATAAATATGCACTAATTTCTATACGATTTCAAGAAAATGAGTTTTTCTAGAAAAAACATTCATAAAAACACCTTGCATTGGTGGTTTCCTTTCCAATCAAAATGATAACCATGATTTAATTCCAAACTTGAACTGCTAAGAAAACAAACAAAAAACAAAAAACAAAAACCTTGAACTGCTATTGTAGGTTCTTTCTAGGAGCATACAAATTTCAAAATTTTAAGTTATATGACTTCATTTTCCTTTTAGCTCTATTTATATGCACTTAACTTTAAAAGTTTGGTCCCATTTGTCTTCCACTTGTCACAAATGTATTAATAAGAATTCTTTGGTTTTAAATTATAGATATCCAAATGGGAAATTTGCTCATGTCACCAAACCATGTAAGCCCAGTGTAGACTGCCAGAACTCAGTGGATTCAACAGCTCAAACAGCATTCCCTCCCTCTATCCCTTGCCTGCTTGGGTGTGTTCAATGGCTGTATTCTCTCAGGTGCCTCCACATGTCAGCACAGCTCTGGAATTGAATCCCTGTATTTAATCACTGTTGTAAGAGAGAAACAAAATACAAAAAAAAGCCTCCCCTCTTCAGCTTCAGGAATGTAAAACCTCTAGGAAGTGCTCTGGTTGGCCTGGGTGTGGTCAAGGAAGCAGGTCACGGCTACCAGTAGCAACCATAAAAACACCTGGATTGGAAGATGTACAAGCTCCCACTCAAGAAGGGCACTCATTGGCTTCAGATGCAGGTGAGATGGGATCCTGAGAAGATAAAAACACTGCAAGAATACCTATTTAGAAAAAAAAAAAAAAAAAAGGAATATCTACTTGAAGAATTTCTATGAAGTTCAGTACCCAGTAATATTAAAATTCAAGTAAACCCATGTATGCGATAGATGACTAAAATCAGTCATCTTTTAAAGATCCTGGAAAATATTCATTAAATCCTGTAAAATAATGGCCTGCCTTCAGAGCTCTATTATCTTATATCTGCAGAGATACTA